GTAAACCATCTGCACGCATGACTAAATTGCAGTATAATAATAATACTTTAAATAAATATTTTCATAGAATAATATAACATATAAAAATGCAATAAATAAATAAATAAACTTAGTCGAGGTGATTTTTCGCAGTCCTTTGGATAATTAAGTTTTAATGTTCCAACCCCTTGTTCCTTCCATTGTTTTTCACGATCCATATAAAATAATTTTGCCCTAACAGTATGTCGAGTAATCTCTTCTTCTTCTCCGGTAATTACTACCAAGAACATTATTATTATAATTTTGTACAGACTAAGCAAATTTAAAATTTTAACTAACCTTCTTGTTCATTTAATAAGGGCCTTGCAACGGTTCCAAAAGCTACTACTTCTTCGGTATAACTTTCTTCGCCATCACTTTCTTCGGCATAATTTTTTTGTCATTATCATCACCATCGCCGTCTTTTCGGGGAAGATCATTAGGTACGGGGGGCTGTGCTGCGGATGAACCGAAGCTTCCCACTAATGAAGTAGAATACTTCGAAAATCCGACCGGCTACAAATAAATTAAGGCTGATTAATTACCATTTATAACAAAAGGAAAATAATTTGCGTAAATAATTTATGTGTCTATTAATGAATGTACCTTGTAATTAGAACTTGAATCGGAACTTTCCTCCGCAACTTTGGCTCTTTTCGGTGATTCTTGGTCTGGGGGTTTGCCGTTTGCATGTATGGATTCTGTGCCAGGTTATGTCGATCAGTGATGCAGTGTAACACAATATGCAGTGCAGATCAATTGACAACGACTTTTAAATTTTTTTTTAAACTTTGCACGAAGATATCTTGATAACCACTTAACTAAATTCGATAAAATTTTTTTATTTGAATTTTATAAATCTATAGAATTCAAATAAAAAAAAATCCAACGAATTTGGTAAGGTAATTGTTGAGATATTTTCGTTCAAAGTTTTGAAAAAATCAAAACGTCTATCAAAATAGAAGACACCAAACTTTTTCTCAATGTTTGAACGAAGATATCTCAATAATGGCCTGACCATATTCAATAAAAAATTTTTTATTTGAATTCTATAGATCCATAAAAATTCAAATAAATAAATTTTCATTGAATTTGGTCAGATGATTGTCGAGATATCTTCACTCAGAGTTTTTTTAAAAAAATCAAAATGTCAATTAAAATAGAAGCTGTGTCAAATTTTTCTAAATCTTTGAATGAAAATATCTCGACAACTACCATACTAAATTCAATGAAAATTTTTTATTTGAATTCTATAAATGTATAGAATTCAAATGAAAAATTTCATTGAATTTGGTTAGGTGGTTGTCGAGGCATCTTCGCACAAATTTAAAAAAAAAATAAAGAAACTTGTTTATTTTTACAAAAAATTGTCAATTGATCTGTACTGCATATTGTGTTATACTACAGCACTGATCGATACAACCTGGCACAGAATCTATATGTGTTTGCCATTTCTACTTTATAATTGTAATAAAATCCTTTTAAATTTCTACAATTTTAGTTATGCTTGCCCATTTTTACTTTAAAAAAAATAATGTTGTTAGCTCCTTAAATTAATAAAGTCGAGTATTAATTTTTTGATTTTTTATATTATACCTGATCTAACCAACCAAAATTTAAAATATGTATACTATTGCTCAAAATTGTAAAACACGTAATAAATTTTGTGATGATTATCAGGTGAAACCCACGTAAAAGCAGTTACATTATTGATGCAAATTCTATCTAAAATAGTAACTAACTCTAATTAAGTATAGATCTGTATCAAGAAAGTTACCACCTTTGCAAATTACAATAAAAATATATTTTTCAATTATGGTAAGAAATGTAATCATATTATCATATGATATCATGTGATTGGTTGAATCAATTTTGATAGTAAATTTTATACAAAACTATTATAGTTTGATAATGTTTATAATGCTTGTGCTTATATCACATGTGATATTTACATCAAATTAGAGATAGTAGGTAAATCCAGATTTATATTTATATCTAGATTAATCTGAATTTTTGAAACAAATATATCCTGTTGTATTATATTTAAAAAATTTTTTTGATAGTGTTATATTATAATATTATTATATTATATAGTTTGTAGTATTGTTTAGTAGTTTTAACTTCAACAAGAGTGAATAACTTTCAAATAGAGATTGTAACCCAATAAGCGATTTAAACTCTCAGAGAGTAATTAAAACCCTAGTACAAATTAAAGATATATAAAGATGCAGTTTTAGTTTAAAAAGAAGGTTGGTAACTTATAATATTAATATTATTGTTAAAAATCTAATATATTGATTTATATTAATAAAAAAAATCTTATAAATTATAATTATATATATTGATTTATCAATTTGAAACTATTTAATTTTAATTATTATATTGTTTATAATTAAAGCTAAATTGATTCATCTTTGAACTCGATTACTTCAAGTTAATTGGAATTGCAATATTTGGAATGCAATATTCATATCACTAATTGAGACTAGAGCTTTTTTTCTATCTCTATTGGCATTACTACAATAGTTTTAGATTTTTTAGTAATATATAATCCTAGTCTTTGCATTAGCTTCTTGGTAATAATGCTAACAGCAGCACCAGAGTCAAGTATAGTGACTACTGGTTATTCTCTAATATTAACATAATACCTCATAGCAACAGTTTTCTTTGTTAGACCAATTTCAAGTAGTTAGCTTCAGTAGTTACAACAGTTTTTTTTTTATTGTCTTGGTAAAGTTTTTATATTGGTTTGAATATTGCAATAGTTGTCTATAGGTTGTTTGAGCAGGTTGATTTAACAAATCTTTCGCAATATCATAAGGTTCAAGTTGGTTGATTATAAAAGGCAGTTTTTTTGCTAGACTTCTCTTTGCTTTAGTTGCTTTTAGTATTGGCTTGGGAAGTTTAATAGGTTTAGCTTCCATTTCTTCAGGTTCAATATTAGGTTCAATATAGATAGTCCTATTTCTTAACTTCATTTCTTTTTGAAATTTAGATTGTTTCTGAGCTTCTTTTTGAACTTTTCTATTTGTTCTATATGGTTAAGGTCTGGGTACTCTTGTAATATAAACTTCTTCTTCTTCAGTTGATTAGTCTTTCTCTTTAACTACATAATTAATCTTCTTTCTGGTCAAGGGTTGGCTATTTATTTGATATCTTTGTTCTTTTGTAGGAAGATATTCAAACATGCAATCTCTAGCATAGTATTCTTTTTCACCACATCTGAAGCAAATAATATGAGGTCTAAAATTATTATTATTATTATTAAATTTGGGTCTGGGTATATTAGAAGAATAATTTGTTTGTCTTGGTTTGGGTGTATAGGATAGTTTAGCTTGA